ACTAAATAAACCCAAGATCCAGTCGGAGTATGATCTACTAACGACTTTTTGCATAACTAATCATTAGAAATCACAACACACATTCCACAGAGGCCAATATTAAATTGAGTTACTGTCATGTTAGTATGGTCTTCTGGTCTATTCAATAAAATTCTGGCTACTTCAAACCCCGAGGGATAAGTTCTGTTCTTAGTTATACTGATGTCCTCAATGGAAATTATCAAGAATAGTAGCCAAGAAAAGTGTTTAATGCACAGTATATATTTAAAGAAATGTTCGCATTAATTCAGATTTTATTACCTTTCCATATCAGAGCTATGCAGTGAAAAAGACTATGCCTCCATATAGTGCATACAAAATTTTTTATCATGACGGAGATTAAGAATACAATGTTTTGCAAACATGATGCTTCATAAGCATGTAAAAAAGAACCGCTTATTCAAACCATACCCAAAACAAGACAACTGTGTAACAGTCCTCCTAGCTGGCCTTCGAAATCACCAGCAGCAATGACCTCTAAAAAAGCAGATTTTCTTTCTGTATTCAGTCAACTCGCAACTCTCAGTTAGCAAGCAGAGAAGCAACAAGATACAGTCAAGACACCTGAACAGTATTTGAGTTCCAAGATTGATATTTCTCACAAAACTTATGGCTCAGGGATCCTGTGATGCCATATATATCTTACAGGCAGTATGTAATTGTTAACAGTTTCACCTATACTCAATAATTTGTAAAAGACACATCATGAAAGCCCTGAATCAAGAGCACTAAAAGCACCTTAAATAGATAAGCCTTAAACACAATCATCTTGGGAAAAAGTGATGCAGAAACAAAAACCAATAGTTTCTAAACCTCACCATTATCTCAGTAAACTAACTGCCAAACTAAAGCACAAAGATGGAATATAGAAAATAATTTATACCAATTTGCTAGGTTTTTCTAGGGTCACTTCAAAATTTTGAGAAGATTAAGAGTTTGTTATGGCAAATACAGAATAAAACATAGTCATCAGAAGCAGAGAAGTGTCTGATGAACAATCATATAATACAAACAATATTAACCACCACATTATCCTGTCTGTGGAATCTGGGAAAAAAAAATACACTCCAAAATTGCAGAAATGTTAAACATAAAATACTTCTTGCAGATTTCCAATCCAAGAGAAACCAACTTATTACAGTATTTGTTGCAGCCTGGTTGTAATTAAATACAGGAAGGATATTAAAACTTCCAAGAGATTTTTTTTAAGCCACAACAGAAGAAAAGGCACAATTGCATAATTGGAACCAAATCCAAAACCCACTTCCTTCTTATTTACTAGCATCATCTAAAGGACACTATTTAGATGCTGAAAGGTCTGGAGCTGACAACTGTAAATCATCTAAAAGTCAAAAATTTCAAAGGAATTGTATGACATGGGTTAAAAGTTTATAGATGAGAGAGATAGAAAGTTAGTGCTCACTGCAAAACCACATCCTAGTGGTCACCGAATCTCTCTTCTCAGTAAAATCCTAGAATTCTATTTCGTTGTGGGGAAAGAAATCCTCTTTGGTAGTAATAAGCTGTATTGCCCTATATAGCTATAGGGCAAAAATGTTTGATATACAGAATTTGAAAGAAAGATGTCTTTTTAAGATATTCTAAAAATAACATTTCTTTAGAGAACAAGATTTCACTTATCATTTGGTTCTACACAGACCAGTTAAATACTAAACAAACTTGCCAGTCAGTGGGATATTTCTTTAAAAAGCTTCAGATCATTTTCATTTGCAGTTGAATTCAGTTCAGTGCTCTTTGTCATTAGCATATCTGTGCAGGAAATTACTATCAAAAGCATCCTCCAGCCCTCTCATTAGCATATCTGTGCAGGAAATTACTTTTAAAAGCATCCCCCAGCCCTCCCCCCCCCCCGCAAAAAATTTTAAAAATCCTCTTGCACGTCTATAAAGCATGCAGAAAAGTGGTAGCACAGACATAGATGGACATGTACATGCTAGTTTTTTTGCTTTAACATAAACCAAGCTGTTTTCAGGGGTTTCCAATTATTTAAGTGCTTTAACCCCTGGGGTTTTTTTTTCCTTTCTGATAGTCAAAGTCATCAACGCTGCCCAATGAAGACATACGTATAGTGCAGCTTCACAATTCTCAGTTCAGATGAAGGGATGGACAAAAGGTGCAAGCATGCTGCTATATTAGCTCGGTGCATGAAATACTGACAAAAGCCGAAAGTTTCATACAGGTCCCTGCTGACATAACACTATTAGTAGGAAGACGGTTCAGTAGCGCTTTTGTTTTACACACAGAAAAAAAGATTCTTTTTTGTTTCATTAAAAATTACTACACCCCAGTGAAACTCATGCTAAAGGAAAGGTTATCATGATGCATCTGTTTGACCTCTAGATCCCACCATTAATCAACTGCAACAAGAACCTAACAAACTAAAAGTCTACAACTTTAGGTTCCTTATTGTTTTGGCAGCATCCGTGAGAGACTTCAAAAGGCCATTCTTTTTAAACATTCATCACATGAGGAAGAGCTAGCTTTAGATATCTCAGCTTGGTATGTAAAACCATAATCCCTTTGAAAGCATGGATCTTTCAAGAACCTGATCGTATCACAGTAATTGTCTAACTTTCCTTTAAAAAAAACATTACAACCAGAAGTACTGCAAGAGCAATTTCTTTTTTTTTTACATTAATTTTTAGATTTGTGCTACTCTTTCTTAGTACACTCACCCTTAAAGACTCACAAGTAACCACCTGTTTTGCAAAAAGAAAGAAAACAAACCAGGAAAACTAGATGTTCTCAGAGAGACTCAGCTGTCAGTTACAGTTTTCTTCATTTTAACATGTTTTTTAATGGGACTGATCACAAGGGTTTATTTTTGGTACCCCAGCACCTCATCCATAAATATTTTTTCCAGTTTAATACATGTTCTCATTACAGTCTTGGGCCAACACCCTGAAGTTCATTTGGACTGAAATAATAGGGTTACCTAAAACAAAATAGCTGTTTTCTGAATAACAGCTTATACCCATACTCTATTCCAAAATACCAACTTATTACAGTTTAGTTTACCCAACACTGAAGTAAATAAAAACACTTATTTTGCAATAATAGTGTGCATGTATGGAATTACTTCTTAATAACTTTTAGATAACTATAATTTTATAACAAGCATGGAATGAGTTAATGTTTAAAAAAAAAAAATCACTAAACTGTCCCTTCGCCATTTAGTACTTCTTCAGCTAAGCACGTAGAAATCAAAACACCACATATCATGCTTTGTTCACTAACACCTATCCAAGTCTTCATTCCCTTTCTTGTGTACACCAGTGTGCGGCCTAAAGGATGATGATGTGGAACTTCAGATGGAAATTCTGCAATATGAGAATACTTTTGTGTATAGCCAAACATATCATAACCAAGGAAAAAGATTCTAAAGACAAATGAGGTGACAAAGTAAGGTGAAATAAAAGAAGAGAGTTACAGCAACACCTAACTTTAACTCTTCTTACTTTCAGCATTTGATAAAATATCAAGTAATAATCAAAAAGGCTCCATTAAAAAAAGCCAAAAAACAATGGAACAAGGAATTAAAACATAACAGAATGACTCTGGAAATTAATAGAAATTACCAGAAGTCCTTTTAATAAAATTAGAAATGAAAAAGATCAAGGAGAAGCTGCCATAATATAAAACACTATGATACCGTAAACGAAAAAAACCCCTTCCATATATACACAAAATAGTTAATAAGATTTTAACACACATTTAAAATATTTTTCTGAACTGCTTATTACATTTTTCAAATACAGACATAACATTTACAAATATACATAAGTATGATGAAGAGTTCAGTCCTTACAAACATTTCTGAAACAAATGAAAAATTCTTTGTTGATTCAAGCAAGGGCTTCCCCTCCTTTCCAGATCTGATTTCAGTAGGTATTTAAACAAGAGCAGTAGGTATTAAAACAAGAGCAACCTCAATCATTAGTCTCAATCATTATTATCATACAACGATATAAGTGGGAAGGAACCTTCGGAGGTCATCTTGTTCAACCTCTTGCTCACACCAGGGCCAACTTTTTGCACAATGGGCACTCTATCATCTCTCAAATGTACTGACAGGTATAACGTGAAGAAAAATACAATTGAATAAAGACAAAAATAATGGAGCACTATAGTAGCTTTGATTAGTACTTCATACAATTTTGATGTACATTTTAAAATGCACACAAAAATTCCTATGCACCATATACCCAGTTGCTACCAGCCAGTATCTACATCAGCAAAACAATGTATCATCCCATCATATGCAGCTCATACCAACATCACTTTCTGTTTGTGAATTATAAATCATTGTAGTAATGGTGCTTAAATGTTCAAAGACAATTTAAAGTTCTCGTTATTCGTGGTATATGGTACACCTTTCATGATCAAAACATCTTTGTCTTCACAATTTTGATGAGATTTCTCTTTAACACGCCTAGAGAAAATGCTGCATCTTCAAGCTTACTTTATTCTTTAATTCCCAGAGCCAAAAGGCAGACCTCCTGCATTACGTTACTTTGACACTTGGGTGATACTTGATTACTCTGGGTGATTTTGCACAAGTCATTCAGTCACTGTGGTAGTAATATTACCCAGTGCCAAGGCCTCCCTTCCAACAGTGGTTTCACTGTTCATGCTTGTTTATCTACTACAACTGTTACTTACAATCTCAGGGATATTATAAACCTTGATTAACCCATGTTTTCAAAGAACATGGAGGTCCTTTGTAAAAAGTGAAAACCAAAACATAATGCAGTAGTCACTATAACCATGTCATACAAAATGGTCGCTACCAGAGTGGCAGAATAAGGAAACTATCATAATGCCTATTGTCATTATTATTTTTGTCATTAGTTGTACTAATTTGCATTAATTTATATCAAAATGGTATTCTTAGGTTCAAACACATACACAACTAAAAACAATTTTTTTAAAACTCCTACCTGAGATGACAAGAGATTGCAGTCAATGTGCAGTCCTTTCCCTGTCTTATACCTCTGAAGTAAACCAGCCATAATTGCTCCATATGTATACAACCCAGTAGCAAGATCTGTCATGGCTACTCCTGGTCTAACTGGCTCACCATCCTAAAAAGAAAGAAGAAAACACCCCAAAACAAGACAAACAAAATAAACAAACAAACAAAACCACACACACACACAAGAAAACAAGCAGAGGCAAAACATTACTTGTTGTTATAGCACATTCTGCACAAGACATCTGAAAAAGTGTTTACGTTTCTGCATTGCAAACTGCAAGAAATAAGAGTATCTTTGAGTGAACTGAAGTATAAAAACTACCACTGAAAACCAGATATTCTTGCAGTATCTACACAATACTGTAACTTTGCGATGCTGCACACTGCAAATTGCGAATGATTTATTTTGCTACTTTTTGCCCTAATAACATAATGCTTCAACTCACCAATGCAAAAAGAAAAGAGATACTGTTAGAGACAAGAGAATCCAGTGAAAACTGAATTTCATTATGCCTAGAAGCCAAAGGTCTAAAGGTTTTCCACAGTATGCTGACCTGGGTGCATGTCTTTTTGAAAGGCAGAACCATATTGCTTTGCTCTTCTCATTCTCTCTCTCTCTCTCTCTCTCTCTTTCTCTCTCTCTCCCCCCCTCCCCCCTCTTTTGGCCCTCCCCCAGCCAAATCTCAGTTTTGTATTTTCCAGTATACACACTCCAGGCTTCTAGTGGGAAAACAAAATCAACTTTGTTTTGTTTACACATGTACACATTACACATGTAAATACATGCGAATTCCTGACCTTCTGACCAATAATCACTGGAAAGTTGTTGGTTCAAATATCCTTTTTCAGTATGTCATCCCTTTTTCCGGTATCAAGGGAAGAATCTTCATTTTACATCATGTGTTTCAGAACTTCCCTAATCATGGGCACGAAATATGGCCCCTCTGCAATCAATGGCAAAATGAACTTCTAATTTCAGTCAAGGTAGGCTGCTACCATAGGAGCTTAAAAGTGCTTATTCTGAGACGTTCTCCCATTTCCTACTCTGAAAAGTTTGAGGTCAGATGCTCAGATTCTGACAGCAATTGCTTGCCCTGAAGTACAGTCCACAAATAGCAGCGCAAAGCTAATGTTTCAAGGACTGTTCCAGACTTTCAGCACCTAAGTAAGCCTATAATAATCCAACTTAAAATCAGTATAATTGATAAATAATAACTGTTTGTCAAAGTTCCCATAAATGCCTTTAAACTAATCTAGCATAAATTCAATGAAATTGAATTTACAGAATTACTTTAATTAGTCATATCTAAACTGCTAAGTGGAGTCATACTTTAAGATTGCAAGAGAGTTATGTTTACTGATAATTATTTTTAAAAGTGTCTTGACTTCACGTAAAAAATTTAAAACTTATCTTCACTATGCTTTTTTCTTTTGTACTCCAACAGGATTTACATAAGTGATATCAAGTCATATATAAGTTAAAAATCATTTTAAGAAAAATAATATATTGCATTATGAATTGCATTAATAGGTCAATTCTGGGATAAAAGACTGTAGTACAACTTCTTCTATGTAAGATGGAAAAGGCTGCTATTTTATTCATATCATAAGAGTGATTAAATAAAATTATAAAATCTGTATCAAATACAACAAATTTAAAAAAAAACCCTCAGTTACTGTCATTCAAACTGCTGTAAGGATTAGTCTGTGACTATCTATAGCCTAGATATTAAGGATGATGTATAAACTACACATCCTTAAGAGGAACACCGCTTTAGGAAGTACTTCTTTTTTGAAGAATCTGTTATTTCTTCCTTCTCCACATTCTACACTAAGCTACTTCAACTTCCCAATAGAAAGGACAACTCAAAGGTTCCATCCATTTACAACTCTCTCCTTGTATCCAGCTCGGGGGGAAAACAGGAAAGGAAGTTATTTTTATACATGTAGGCCTACTGAGAAAACTAATTAGCACATGAGAAGGCTTTTGCTCCTCAGAGCTATCACTGAGAAATACAAATAAATAAAAAAAAAAAACATTTCCCCCATATTATCTGCTGCAAGTTCTCAGTTTGTTAAATTGTTCTTTCTTCATTACAGCCAAGATGCTGGGATGAGAAGAAATCAAAAAGACTTGAGATTTTGCAAACAGATGTGCAGCAACATTCTTAGTTTGAAAACACTTCCCACTGTTTTCAAAGTGTCATTAATTTTACCCCGATGGAGAAAACTACACTTTGAAGATATAAAAATCAGGACTATTTTAATAGATTGGTACATATGAATCTGTCTTCTCAAGCCTTAAGTCCAGCACTTTCCTCATTAAGTACTAAACTACGTAATGTTTTAAAGCAAACACTTCCTTTGCCTCAGTAAAAGGTTCACCTTTATTTCTAAAAATACTTTGACAATTTCCCTGTACAGAACACTCCTACAAACTACCCTAACACTCCACAACCTATAATTCTGCAGCAGTCCACAAAATTTCTACTCTTCCTTGGTCTTTCTACCAAGATCCATGAGTAGCTGCCATTTTTCACCCTTTCATCAGCTTCTAATGTCCACCTGTGCCATAAATCAGCTTTTATGTGACAGGACGCATAGCTGTAAGTACTGTGAAATGGATTCATTCAGGTTTTCATCTCTATCCTGCAGAACAAGGGATATGAAGCTGCCTTATATGAAGGACAAAGCTACACACACAAATACCTTCCTTTAGACAGACCTTCAGCACAGCAGTAGTTCTGTGTAGTTAACGTTATACTAGTTCCCTGAGCAAAGTAAGGATCTATACAGTAGGCTTTTATTCAAACAAATAATTTTAAAAGTAACAACAACCACCACCCCCTGCCAGCCAAAAGTGATATTACTGTTCTGGTAGAAGGACAAAATGTAGCCCTAGTCAGGAAGAAAGTGCTTTAAGCAAACAAAGCCATGTGGGCTCAAGGGCTGGGTTGAACCCTACTTAGGGGCAGCACTTGGACATGCCCTTTGCTCATTTGAAAAGATGAAGATTCACTCCAGTAGAGCAGACCTTTTCTTCCATCACTGCGCTTTGCTATTGCTCAATCTTACCACTAGTTTACACTTTTATTCCTAATTTTTGCTGTTTGCTGAATTCCTTACAATTTGTCAACACATTCTGGCCCAGAGATAGCCACAACACATTTTGGAAGCTTCCTTTCCTGAGTCTTTTTTTTGCCCTTTGACATAATTTCCCTTCCCAAGTTTACATCAATAATAAAAAAATGATCCATTAAAAATGGAAATTGTTCTGAAATTACATGCTTGATAAAAGTATTCTAAGTCCAGTAGTCTTTACAGATGGGAAATAGCTGCTGAAGCTAATATGAACCAGCAATGGCTATATTTTTCAACAGCTCTGAGCTATATACCACGTGCACTCTTTTGTTGCAGTTCGTTTGGTTTTAAGCTGAAGAATGGCCCCTCTGGTATTGTAGATCCCAATCATGTCTTGCTGTCTCGTGTTCAGTAAAACAAAAATGTTTCTTCAGCAAGAAAGAATGCACCACCATAAAGATACCCTGAATATCGAAAATTGCGTGTAATAATCCACTTGGAGATGGAAGGGGATTTGTATCCAAATTGGGTTTTATTTAATTAATTTCAAGTTATTGCCTTAATGAGTCATAGAAATTTTCATCAAAGGGATATTCATCTGGCACTGATGTATCTGAATATATTAAGTAAAAGCTTTCTGTTCATCAAACATGAAACTGGAATGTGGTGTTTAACCAGGAAATAACTATAAATTATGTCATCCAGGACAATAAAAGTGTCATCAGTGTAAACTTTGTCCTTTTAGCATATTTTAATTTATGTAAAGAAAAACTGAATGTGGCCTGAAGCAACAACTTTCATTCAAAATGGGTTTGTGGTACAAATTTACACAAAACAGATTCCCCACTCTTGCTTGTAAATTTTCATAAACACACTAGAATTTCAAATTTCACAGGTGTCATACATTTCTAATACAGAGGTAATCAAGTACATGTGTAAGAGCTTGAATTCCATGCAGGTTTCTGCACATGAAAACATGGTTTAAAGATAGCGTTCTACTGTACACTGAATGTGTTTGGTTTTGTACAATCAGCAAAAACAACATTAGCATAAATGCAGTTGTTTAGTTGTTTGTGCCTGTAACTTTGCAATATTGCAGAAGTTATAGCTTGATTTCAAGGTTCAGAACTTTGCTCAGAAGCATTTCAAAGTAATCAGCATTAAGTCATTTCAGTAGTGACTATTTCCTAGCAAAAAAAAGAAAAGCAAGCTGTTCACAATTTCTTTCTGCAGGAATCTTCTCTCAGATCTTAAAAATCAGATGTATAAAGCATATGATCTTGTCTCCCTTTCAAGAGGTTTATACTGTGTGCCAAATGTGGTATTACTGTGTATCTTTGGTGCATTCCACATTTGTATTACACTAACTTTATCTCCTTGATAAAAAGATAACTTGGATAAAAAACACATTTTAGTCAGAAACTTCCATCTCTTCCACTGTGATCTCTTTACTGACTCAAAAATTATAGTGTTACATGAAATATAAAGTATTGAAGAAAATGAATGTTACATATGTGACAGACTTAATGAAGGTTTTTTTTGCTCAAAATCCTGTGCTGGTAATATACTGATTTCAGGGCTTATATTAAGACTTTATTGGGTACTGAGGCCACGCCTCCAGTCAGTAAAGTTACGTGATCTGCAACAGTAAACTGCTTTCTGAGACATTAAATCAGTAGCCAGATGGTTGGAACAAACTAAAATTCACAACGTGAAACTTCTCTAAGGTAAAATGGAATATATAGTTATTGGTTCTATTCATTTTTAAAATGTCAGATACAGGACATAATTTTAGTACCATATTATTATAATGCTTTGTGAGAAGCTGTAAATATGTATCAACATACCTCAAACTTAAGCACCTCAGTGATGTATGTAGATGTTTTGTTGCTGCTGCTCAAATTCATTATAATTTGTCTACTGCATCAGCTGATACCTCTAAGACCATCATGCAAGCACATTCAGTGGCTGAAGGGAAGTTTCCACAGAGCACTGTTATACTGATGTTATTATACTGATCCTCTGTATGCAAATGCAATGCAATACAAATGCAATACAAAACCAACATCGTCTGTTATAACTTTTTTTTTCCCCCAGTTCATAAATAAAATTGAAAATGCCAGTCTTAAAAAAAAAAATCATACTCTAGTAAACTAGGGTATGCTTCAAATGATCATGTTACTTTTGGTATATGAATTCCACGTTATCTGGTCAACCAATAATTCAGGGTTTAATAAAGAAAAACAGCATGAAAAAGCGAGTAAGAGTCTTTTTTCTTCTTTACTGTGGCCACTTTTCTAAATGCTGACTGAAACAAGGTTTTCTACTTTTTTCAGAGCTAGTTTTGTGGAATTTTAAACATAACCCAATCACATGAACATAAATGTAGAACATAGAAGATTTTACTATTAATAATACATTGTTATTTTAAAGTAACTTTCAAACAAGCATACAATATGATTTTAAAGCCACTTGAGTAAATTTTCACTACAACAAAAGGCACATTTGCTTCTTTGGAGTCATTGACCATTTAAGTCTTTGAAACAAAACTGTCACTCTATACATCAGAAAATGGTTTTGAGAAACTGATGAAATAACGTACCACCAACTTCAAATAAAGAAAAATAAGAAGCAAGTTTTAGCATGTTTAGTTTAATCATGCAAGCGAATGACTAAGTTTGAATGAATTGTTAAAAGCCCCCAGCGAATAGATGGAACTGTTACTAACAATGATTAAATGATTCCTATGATCACATTGCCTCAAGTCCTGGTGAGGTGATGCAAACATCTGGATTTGTAGTGTAGATTTTAACACAATCTTTTAATAAAATCCATCTTCATAATGGCCACTGAGGACTATTACTCTCATAATACAATTTACATGCAATTATTCAGTATAACACTTGTATTTTCTGTCATTCACATACCAATGAAAAGCTTTACAAGAGTCCTGGGTTTTTTCAATTTTTCAAAAATACTTTCCTTTATTCATGTGGTACTAACAATATTTGCCCCTTTCGAACAGTTTAATTTTGTTTGGTATATTTTGAGGTGTGCACGAAGTTTCTGGCATTGTACTGGAAGTACAAACCTTCACTCTACAGACACCAGGGTCAGAATGTAAAAATTACGCTACAGTTTCTGTGACCAGTCATTGCTTAGTGTATATGTGCATTATACATTTCAAGAGTAGTACCTGTAAGGACTGCACTCAACTTCATGTCTTCTCGTGTTCCAAGACGGGACTTCCTATGAGTATGTATCATTAACATGGCAGCAATGGGCAGACAGTCTTAGGACACTAGGCACAAGGTGTTTCAGTTTCCTCAGTCAAACAATGCTTGACTTTTTTTTTTTTTTTTTAATAGAAAGAAGGACTCTGGTAACAATAATTGCCACAAGCACAGAGTTCTGATGTTTGCCATTGATCTCGGCAGAAAACAAGTCGATTGGCAGAGTATCAATCCTACAGTAAACTTATGTCCAGATCATGCATGGTTAGCTTTCAACAACCTACTGAAACACAAATATCTGACACTAAGTACAGAAACTTGATGAACTCCTTGCTCATCATGAACATCCCCATCTAGGGCACGCAAGTGTCATACTCGGAAGATTTGCACTACTGCTTCCAGAGTATCAGGATCACCACCACAGAAGACCATCTAGTGTTTATGATGCATAGAACAGACTTGTAACACTATCTCGCTTGAGAAGTGACATTTGGAGACCACATTCCCTGCATCTGTAGGTGATTCAAGACAGCTTAATTAAATGCCTATTTGGCCAGCATTTTTCTGAGGTGAAGAAACACATTCTATGTATCCCTGGAATCCAGATACTAAACTACCTCTGTAACGCTTCCTGCACTACTGCAACTACCAAAGATCTTGGATATCAGTGGGAATAGCAGCACATAAAGCTTTTCCAGAACCACTAATGGCATCTCTCTGCTTATTTTCAGGCAGGATGATTGAAAAGACAGTTTGTCAGAGTTATCTAGATGGCTTCACAATTCCTTCTTTTAAAAAGGGAATACCAATATCAAAGCATGGGTGAGACTTCCCACACATATTCATGGTTCCATCATCCAGGTGTCAACAATGTGTCTATTACAGCCCTTGAAGTGACTACAAGTGGCCATTAACAGGTTAGCATAAATTGCCAATTTATTCACTGGAGGTCTATTTTCTGTTTCTCAGGCATTGGCTTTGTGAGCCTGGAGTGAGATACCTGAAGGACATAAGCACTATCATTTTCTTAGATTCCCAGAAATAAGACCTCTTGTTGGACCCAGGAGGGTATGCATAACAGATGTGCTAGCATAGGCTAACTTGCTCCATGCAGCATCAAGTTTTAGTATATGGCACAAAGATTCTACTAAATATTTAAGTTGAGCACCATACCTCATGCCCTGTGATATGCATGAGACCAGAAACAGCAGCTGCAATGGAGTCATATCCACCCCTCTGAACCACTGGACCAGTCTGACCATAACCTAAACCAGAAAGAGAACAATTAGTAATTCAATCAAGGACAAGTACAACATAAACACATATTACTATTTTAGTACAAAAAGGAACCACTAGTATTTCTCATCAGCTTTTATTCACAAGTTGTCCAGATTGTACAACCAATGAATGCTATTGTATTCTATTTATTCCTGCACATTTTTAAGAGTAAATGGTTGGATTTATCCTGTGCGGGTTGATGATGCGTTTGATCTTAATTCTAGACAGATTCCTGGCCCTGCTATGTTTCATTCACTTTGGATAGAATTCCTTTTTTAATTTGCTGGGTGAGCTGAGGTGGGATTCAGATGTCATTTCAGAGGCTCTATGGTATCTCTACAGGCCTCCAACTGCTGTCCAAACAGGGCCCATGTCGCCTGTGTTATATCTCCACTCTGCCATAAAGATATCTTGAATACCACAAACAATACTAAAATCATGACGCTACGGTTTAGACACATGAATTGTTCCCCCCTTACTTCTCCTACTTTATTCCACATCTAAACAGAGCTACCTTAAAAATAAAACATTGTTTACACAGAGGGCAAGGCTGGCCCTTTAGCAAGTACACACAATCTGTTTGCCAAGAGTTAGCAACAATGAAATGCAAAATACAAAAAATTTTTATGGATCTACGTAAATACAGTTTTGTTCAGCTATAGAATTAACTTAGAATTAACAGCTGTAGCCAGAAGGATGCTTTCTTGCTTTTCTCTGCTTTAACTCATCATGTTCTTCCAACAACAACCACAAAATCTTCCAGTTGAAGAGGTCTTGCAGGATCAACTGAAGAGGTATCAACCCTATTCCCCTGCCAGGGATTACTGCCTGTCAATCACAGTACAACGTAATAATTCAGCGCTGAAATTGGAGGCAGCTAACGTACTGGGCCTGTACAAAGTAATGACCTTAAGTGGTCAAAGAGCCAAGTATGGTTTTCTTTTATGGAACCAATGACCACCAACACAGAGGGAAGAAGTAAACAGGGAAGGAGCAACATGTTTGATTGCTATTATTAGAACTAACAGAAACTGTCAGAGCCCTTAAGAATCAGATTTAAGAGTCTCTCCCCTCCTCAAAGAGGCAGCAAATTCAAAAGCTGTTCTCATACTTTCTTTTCCCTTTTCAGATATGTCTAGGAGAAATCCCCTCATTACAGGAGCAAACAGTCAGGAGATTTGTCACAGACAAGATTCCTAGTTTGGATGGCACTTTTAAGGCAATGTTTCTGTATTACTCTTAGCCGTGAGGACAGTATTAAAATAAAAATGTATCAACATATACTGCAAGATAAAACTTCCTAAATCTCCTAAATTCCTTTTAATTATTCTCCCGGAATAATCTTCTCTATTTACAGACAGTCTGTTTGGTAGACGTGACAGTCTAAACATTGGCTTTGTTGATTACAGCACACAATTAAAAATCATTACTCATTGGGGTAATCTTCCTCAGTTCCTCCGCTTGGACCAACGCTGTTATGTACAAAATTCATTAGCGACGCCTAATGTACAGTGCAAGAGAATAATGATCACTTCAAACTGGAGTTAAAGCACTTTGTTACTCCAATTAATATTTAGTAAATCACACCAAGCAAAACTAGCCATACTGATTTTCCCATTATACCACAAACTATCTTAACTACCTGATAATTTTTCTGGAGACATCAGATCCACATTGTCAAAGCTGAGGAGGAACTCAACTGCTACACTCAGTGTCACAGGGAATATCAAGATACTACAGCCAGAACATTGACTTTGTCAATGTAGCCTCAAAACAAACATTTTGGAAGAAAGGATTCAGAATTTTTCTTATGGTCAAATCTGTATCTTATTGACTTCAGTACACACAAGAGAAGAAAAAAAAAAAATACCACTTTACCCACTTTTATTGGAAATCATGTCTCTGACAACAGCTGACTGTGAGACCCTAAAAAGCAACTGGTGACATTTCCTTTCATATTTACACACTTAAGTTTACAGAAAATAACAGTGTTTTCATTTTCAAACATAACACGACTAGCAAATAAAATATGGTGGATCCACCCAAAAATGCTCTGACGGGCTCTAACTAGGCATATACCATTATATCATTGGAATGAACCGTAGCATTAAAACCATTTAAATGTGTGGGGCCACTTCAAAAACAAAATCTTGCTCAATTAAAAAAAAATACTCAAAACAACTTTAATTGAATAGTGAAAAGCATATTGAAGTAAGTGAGAAATTATGTACTGGCCTCAATTATTAACAAAGAAAAGACATCTCAACACGTCTGCTCACACAAATGTTTTCATAAACAGAAAACATCTGAAAATTAAGCATTTAGTATGTAGACAGAACAACTATAAAATGCTTTGCAATGCTCCTCTGGTAAGGACAAACACCCATCCCTCAAACACTATATTCAGGAAAGGTGACAGGCAAGAAGACATGCATCTTTCTAGTGGTATTTTAGAAATACAATTTTTTAGGTCCTTTTCACACATTATAACAGCCTGGTTTCAAAATAAAAGTTATTATTTAATGGCTTTCTGGTTAAAATTAGAGGTTCTAAGGACTCTTTAATTAGACAGGTCACAATAGATTAAAAAACAAAAAAACACATAATTCTGCTTTTGATCTGAATTCTGAATTGACAAAGCTAGTGTGGGGACAAAATCTTTTGTCATTGGAAATGGTTTGGCCCAGGAACTATGGACATATAAAATGCCTGGAAGAAGAGGTAGCCATCTAACTATAAGAGTTAAGTGGCAAATAGCTATTTCTAAAAATGAAAGATTTCGTTGCCCAGACAAAAATCAAAGGCTGAACATTATTATTCTAGTAAACTACACAGATCAATGGAGCCACCCAGTGCAGATGTTTTAGAAATAACTATGAACGCAAATACAAAAAGTTTGAAGGAGAGCACAAAATTACATTCAGAAAATTTTCAGCCTGGTGCACAGATCTCACCATAACTGTAATACACACACATATATGTGGTGTATATATATAAAAATATATAAAACAACTTCTTAAAGATATAAAAATGCCACACGAAGTTTATGTTTGTCCAAATACCCTGCGTTCTCTCACATGCAAAAGAGTAGATTTGCAATTACACATGCTTAACCCTAAATATAGGTTTCTGTTCAGTATAACGTAGTTAATGGCTTATCAAGTTTAGATGCAACGGAAAATACTTTAGACTAAAAAGATAATCCCTGTTGAGTACAGAAAGAATAGACTTTACAGCGATGGTCTCTGAAGGTGAAACAAGGCAACTGATTACACTCTTGCTCTGAACTGCCCTCTAGTGGCCTTTACCTCCTTAGGCTACAGCCAATATTGAAATAGTCTCTTTCTACCAGTAGAGAATTTATTTTAGTCCCTTAAGTCCAGTGAACATATTTTTGTTTTGGGGAATATATTTCAGAGGAGAGACAAAAGAATTTAAAACTTAATTTAATAAAACTGAGAGTTTTCTAAATCATTTCAGCTGGAGAGGGAGCTGCATAGATGCCTAATCTCATGTAAAGCTTTAGACTTGTGTAAAACGGAATTGGGAAAGAACAAAAGAAAGTTGCACTCCGCCTAAATCCCTATTCGACTCCCAAAATCCCTATCCTACACCTTGCACTGGGAATTTATTCTGATACCTGCCACATCCTCGCGTACCTAGATCTCAAAATTGTTGTGGTATGAGCTGTTTTGCTCTACTGCAAAATGTACAGCAGTTTCACAATCCAACTAGTTACATGACACAATAACCCCCAGTCAGATCTCCAAGTGCATCCTAAAAATTGTCATTGTCAAAGCATTATTTGACCTGCATAGCAAGCATTTGAAACTACCAGAAACACAAACTCTTAACTGTCCCCTAAAGGACTACTTGCTCATTCAGCATAGTCACTTACACCTAAATCTTCCAGTTCCTGTCCTGACCCTGGAGCCAAGTCTATCTTCTACATAAGAAAGTGTATCTTTATTGTCTTTACCTTTTTATGAGCAAGAAAAATGAACTGGGTATGGGACAAGTACAAAACAAGTTCCACTGGCTACATTATATCAGCTTAAGGGAAACACGGGCCTCTATGGTAGGCATTTACAAAGTGAATGCCACAGCTTTCCACCACCAATCCTACCCCTCACAATTTCCACCAGCAATCCTGCATCCTTATCTCAGACAAGAATGGAGAAAGTGACCTTACTGGCTATATTTAGCATCCTCTGTTTTTCGGAACTTTCTAAGTGGTTAAAGATAAATTTGCAGCTGAAAATTTTGAAAGGATATACTTAAGACCTTCACCATCTCTCTTTGTTAGTCTGCAGCATGACATACAGGGTATGAATATTCAAAATGAGACATGCTTAATGTGACATAAAACAGGATATATCTCTGTCCCTGTATCTATTTTTTTCATATTTGGGGGAATATGACAATTCAAGTTTCATAAAATAAGGCAGCTAATATGGAATAATGCAGCTCACAGCTGTTCTAAAAAAGCCTCCAAAGTTGTTTGAGCACCAAAACTTTGATACAAAGCAACAAGAGAAGACTCAAGATGCCTAAAAAAATATTTATCTAGCAAAACTGGAAGATAATCAATCATGTCAAGATAAACAGTAAATTATAATAGCACTAAGATCCTCATCATTAGCTGGGGGCATTACATAAGTAACTTTATGCAAGACACTAATCGCAACTGATTGAAGATTCATTTGGTAAAATGAATTGAAACAAATAAATTTCCCATAAATATTGGCAATATTTACCCATTCCAATTAAAACTAAGAGTGAGACTGCTGCTATTATCCATATAAATTACATCGTTATTAATACATCACAATTCCTGACAAAGAGAAGGACTGAAAGTATTTCTTTCCCCCAGATTTTTCTAGTTGGATCAGAGACACCTAGTAAAATAAAGACACTCTTCAATGGGAAATAAATCTTAGCTACTTCTCTTGGGTTGGTGTGACATCCCTGCTCTGATGAAAGGGGG